GGGTGAGGAGCTTGGAGGAGCTTTATATCGGGTCACGGCGGCTTATCGCATGGACCTACCTACTCAAGCTTTTGAGCTTTGTCTCTTGTCTCGGCGGGGGTGGCTCGATCTGGTTGGTCACTGGACAGATACTTGGCCCCTCGTCCCTTGTCAACCGACTCCGGGGTACGATGTCTGAGGTAGGTACCTTACCTAGGTAGGTAGGTAGGTACCTATCTGAGGATAGAGCACCTGAAGCACCTGACCGACGGCTGGAAGGGCGAGCTCGTAGGGCGTGGCAGGGTCTACCAGCGCTGTCGCTGTCGCTGCCGTGGCCTTCGCCGCCACCACTACCACGACGCTAGTGCAAGCAGATACGGGGGGCAGCCGGGACCCCGCCGCTTGCGACGTCATTCGTGGCAGGCTGCATTCCCATCAGCTAATGATGGAGTAAAACTACAGAAAACAAAACAGGACCAGATGAGGACACGGCTTTTGTGAGGCCCTCGAGGGCTTTGACCGACGACTTTCCTGATTGAGGCTCGATCTCTGAGCGCCATAGAATTCGTGGCGTTGTGCTTGCTGCTGTCCTGGAGGCTGCTGTCGACGTTGGGAACCCTGAATAGATGGCTTGCCAGAACGGGCAAGGTACCCAGTCCCGGGCCTGTGTCACCCCACTGCGGAGTCGGCACCCTGCAGCCGTCACCTGCGCCCATGTTCCACCCCACCTATCAGAGCATCGGCAACACCACGAACACCGGCCCGGCCACCATCGATGCATGCCTCTTTTCGGTAGGTAACGTAATGATGTGCTCAGCTGGTACGTTAGGTACGCGATAGGAGAAGCCGAGTCACGATGCACAGTGAAACGAATTGTCTTATCGAAAAAAAGAGGGTGAGGACAACCAAACTCAGTCTTTCCCTGCTCCCAAGAAAATGTCGCCACATCTCGCTCTACTGATGCAATGCACAATGCTTCCACCCATGCCATGCCATGTCGAACAATGTTGGAGGAGAAAATAAGGAAACAGACCCGCCGACCCCGTCGTGAACTCTCAACTCGCCCCCGCCTCCCTCTCTGCGTGGCAGGGCCAGGAAGGAGATCATCATGTAAAGACGGAAAAGGAGAAAACGCCGTGCCCATCATAACAATCACGAAGAGTCAATTCCACCATCACCCCCCCTTCAGCCACCGTGCCTCTCCTTCTCCTCGAGCTCCCGTATGTACTTCACAAAGCTCTTCTTGTGCACCAAACCCGCGTACCGCCCGTCGCGCAGCACGCAGATATAGCGCAGTCCGAGCTTGACGAAGCACTCGTAGACCAGGTCCATCGGCGACCGAATATCGAGCGCCACGGGCGCCGCATCGATGAACGGTGTCAAATCGGTCGGGTCCACGTCTTCCTCACCTCCTGAATCCTCAATCGAGTCGCCGTGCGGCCTCGCGTGCGCCATGAGACACAGCGTGCTCTCTTCGTCCTCGAGGTTATCGAGGGCGTACTCGAGGTCCGGCGCCGGGATGAGCCCCACCAGCACGTCGTCACGAATAATCGGCAGACCGCCGTCCAACTCGCCTGCGCGGTGCAGAATTTCCAGCTTCGTCCGGAGACTAGTGGCCGGCACCAAGGGCGAGCTCGTCACGTTGATGACACGCTCCCGACGCACTCGGGGCACAATGTCGGCCAGATCCGACGTGAACGTGGGCTTGTGCTTGTTGTCCAGGAATGGGTACGAGTTCATGTTTGTCAAGAGATCCTTGCTTGTGTCAGCTCATCGTTCGAGTCATGAGGGTTCTGCCTACTCACGTATATGCTTTCAGGCTCGATGGCGTCCGCCGTCCACTTTGCCACGAGAATGGCCAGCGAGAACGGCAAGACATAGTCCAGGCTTCCGGTGAGCTCGAACAAGATGACGGCCAGAGTTACTGACAGCCGAGTCACGCCGCACATGGTGGAACCGGCCGCGATCAAGCCGTAAGCACCGGGCTGGATGCAGGTGCCTGGCACAGTCGCTGCACAGTCGCTCCAGAGCCCAAAGTGGGGGAACCGCATGACGGTCCATTGCACAATGTGGCCTACCATACGGCCCATGAGACCTCCCACCACCATGGATGGGACGTAGATTCCCGCAGGTACTTTCTGGGAGCTGTTAGACAAGAGGCGGCCGGATAACAAAACAGACGACTTACAATGCCAAAGGTGACAGTGGTGAGCAGACCCTTGATGAGGAATGCAACGAGCAAGCTCATAAGGATGGGAGGGATCTCGCTAATTTCCGAAGGGCACAAGCCGAGGTCGTCCCGGTCTGTATCCTTGTCGTTACAAGGCGATGCAAGGTTGAGAAGGAGTTTAGCGACAGGGAGTCTCGTGAAGACGTTCCAGTAACTGAGAAGAGCGGTTGCGATGGCCACCAACAGCACTTCCAGCATCGGGTACGCCTTGATGACCTTGATGCGCCTGAAGCTCTGGGCCCAGTGTTTGGATGCTTTGATGAAGAGCGCGCCGGCGGCACCGCCCAGCATACCGACTACGACGAACGTGGCCAACTCAAAATAAGCCCAGTCGATGATGTAGCGCACCTGGAACAGGACAATCTTCTGCGTGCCGTAGGGATTCAGGAACTTGAGTGTCAGGGCAGCGACCATGCAGCAAAAGAAGGTCCTGAAGAGCGTCTTGGCTGGAAAGAAGTAGGACACTTCCTCGAGGCCAAAGAGCACACCGCCGAGGGGTGCACCAAAGGCGACAGCTACGCCGGCGGCCGCCGTGGCTGATAGAATCTCTCGACGCTTCGCATCGTTCGAATCGTACTTGGAGAACATGCGGCAGGCAATGTTGCCCACACACGTAGCAATGTGGACGTAGGGGCCTTCTTTTCCGAGACTGAGACCGGAACCGACGCTGAGAACCAAAGCCACAGATTTGATGACCAAAGTTCGGAGACCGAGGAAACCGTGCAAGACAAAGCCACTCAAGATCACGCGGACTTCGGCCACGCCGCTGCCCGCGGCCGAGTAGTAGATCATGGGTGGCGCCCCTGGTTCCTCAACCGGCTGCGAGGGGCTGATGTTCTCGTCGCTCTGGTTCTCGTCGTCGGAAAGCGCAGGAAGAAGCTCAGCAGCGAGGTTCTCGTCGAATGTTGTCATCCTATATGCGGAAGGGACAACGGTTTTTGTGGTCAATGTCAGAGCGCATGCCGTGCATGCTAACGCAATGACCAAAATGAAGTAAACCACATATTCGGTCACGCCCCCGACGGGATTTGATTCGAGGACTTCGGACCACAGGCGCCAGTCGTCACAGCTACCTGTAGGGCAGCATTTCTAGTATCCAGTCAGCTTGTGTCCACCGTGTGTGTGTGTTGTCTTGCTTCTTCCGCATGACCAGGTTGAGAGGATGCGGATGGCGGACCTTTTCATTGTTGTACCAAGCTCTGGTGCAATACCCATCTTTCCAGTCGAACAAGGTAGTTTCGCAAACTGTGATGGTATAGGCGATGAGGGCGATAATGACTCCACACACAAAGCTGAGGAGCCAGCCCTGGGACGCGTCGAAGAAGGCATGAACGCGGCCACGAAAGTCTTTACGGCTGCGTAATGCCTTGAGACGGTGAGCATCTGCAATATTGTCGTGCACCCAATCCGTCGATGTAAATTGATCGTACCATACTCGCTCGTCGGAGAACAGGGAGCCTTTTGACTCCAGCATGGGATCCGGTCGGTCGTGAATCGCGTTGATCAAGCGAGCGCTCCACGAGGATGGGTGTGAGCTGAGGTGGCGGGAGCTCCTAATGCTTCCTAGAAAGAGACAGAATTCTGAGGTTAGTAGGGGGTGGAAGCTGCATGAGGTGCCCCGGGGCATAGATGTCCGTACCATGTCCACTGTTTCTCCTCGAGAGCCCAGGAGTCTTGAGGTTTGATGTATCATGGCTGTTGTGTATGCGAATGTGGGATCGCGACCGTTGCAACAAGGGTGATCGTTCGTCTGGGTGCTCGTTGCTGCTGCTAAGATCGAGACGGGACGGGCGTCGGCTGTGTGCTGGCGACACGGGTGCAGAGAGGTGCTTCTGCCTGTCTGCCATGATGGGTGTTACTTGTTCGGCCAGTTCGCGGTGGCAATCCGCAGTGGGCGTGGTGCTTCGCAGATAGGGATGGAGGTCGACGGCTGACTGTTATAGTCAAGGCTATTTGCTGCCGTACACGACGGATCTCAAACCTGACACTGCTGGCTGAGGGTCGGTCGTGCTTATTTGTAGGGTATGTGGGAGGTGTACGCACCGGACCACAGGAATTTCGTCACCGATGGCAGGTGGTGTAGGTGGGGAGTAATGTTGAAGGTGGTTCGAATGGGGCTTGTGACCGAGGTGTCTCAGAGCGTGTCGTCAAAATGCGCAGCATGCTCTGGGTGGACAAGCCTGCTGGCTGATAGGAAGAGGTATGCAACCTGACAGACCAGGAGCAAGGGCACACAGGGTGTTTGAGGTCGGAGAGGTTCCCTTGGTTCACCGACCCAACGGTAGAGATGTTTCGGAGTAGCTTGGAGCGTGAGCGGGGGGGGGGGTATGAAGGTAGGCCGTAGGAGAAAGACAGATGGATAGCGAAAATGAGGAATAGGCTGTTGACGATCTCGTGCGCACCGCTTTGGCGAGCTTCGGGGTCACACGTCCTGCCCAAGGCTCGGCACGGACATGGAGTACGCTCGGCTCGAGGGTACCTTATTTGGAGGTCAAGGGAAGGGCAGCAGGGAAATTGTATCATCGCCCCGCGTGGCGCCTGTGCCGCCAAGCCACCCATCCGCAGACCCATCAACCTCCCTAGCGTTATCGAAATAAGGCAGGTAGGTAACCCTCACGTGCACCGATGCGCCTGACTAGGTACCTAAGGTGCCTTGGTCTTGGTTGCCTTGCATTCTTCGTATCCGTGGAAGCCATCAAATTGGACGACGCACTTGCACCCTTCTCTGATACGGAATTCGTCTAGTGGAAAAAAGCCGGGACTCATTCTCAGCTTGGCGAGCCTTCAAGATCGCATCTGCACCGCCGGCCCCAGGCCAAAGCTTGGAGCTTTCGCGCGGGTGATTAAACGTCACTGTGGTGTCAAAAGCGTCCTGTGGGGAACCACTCCCCACGTTCCCCGTCCACTCCGGCGATCGACCGGGCCCGCCCACAGCTGTTTGACGGGCCGTTACAGGGCACTTGTGCACTAAAACCTGCGAGAGATGAACCCTAGCGAAACTCTCCGAGCCGTCAGTGCTGAGACGCGTCGACCGCGATTTGCCAGCGACTTCATCTCATCCAGCACCTGGACCAGCCAAGTTCTTAATCACGCTGTTGCCGGTTGTCGGTATCCCATTGCCGGGATCTACACATGTTGGGACGAATGCCACCTGGCATGCTGGTGTTTCAATGACCGAGTCCGATGGGAAGGGCCTGACGGTGCCCAAATTCTCCTCCTTCAAACCACCAGCGCCGGTGTTGGACATCACCACACAGTCGAACGAGAACACGTCTGACAAGACATCGAAGCGCCACAAGGACAGGAAATCTCATCGACACAGTCGACATGATCGACTTGAGGATCGCGATCGCTCGTCCCGGCACCGCCACGACCATCGCTCTGAAAACTCATCCGCGCAACCTTCAGAATCCCGCCGAGATAGATATGAGCGTAGTCTAGAACATCGTTCGGATAAGCATCAATCGGGTCGTGCCTCTGAGAGACGGCATCGTCATCGCTCAAGGTCGCCAGCTCAAGACAAGCTTGCACTGGTGAGAGCACAGCCAGTGTCGCAACCCGACGCCGCCCCGGCAGGAGATGCCCAGTTCATTATAGATCAGCGGGGAGACCCTCTGATCTCGAGGTATCGCAGAAATGACCGTTCAAAAATCCCCCAGTACCGTCGCAATGGGCGTGGGCGGCTGCTGGGCTCCGATGGCTACCTGTCGATTCACACCGATGCCATGGACGAAGAATTCAGCATTCGACGGCCGGGTCAAGGAACCTCGGCTTTGAAAGATAGGCACCTTTTCGCTAAGGTTCGTTACACGAAGCCAAGGCGAATTCGGGTACGGAAAGACGGCACGGCCTCGTCAGGCGAAGAGGAATTCGTCCCACTCAGCCAAGCGAAGAACCGACGCCACGATCATGACGCATCGGCATCAGAGGACGAAGCCATGGTTTACAGGTCTATCGAAGGCAAAGCCAAAGCACATCAGTATTCAGACAGTGAGCTGGAATACGACTCGTCTGACGCCGGCGAATCGAGGTTTGACGACGATGACCCAGCTAGAAGGAAGTCCATCGAGCTCTCACGTCGCGTCAAAGAACATCCAAACGACATTGAAGCATGGTTGGCCCTCATTTCCCACCAGGATGTGCTCTTGCATAGATTCCAAGACTCTGGCGGTGAAGCTACTGAGGCCGAGGTGCGCAGCTTTGCCGAGATTAAGCTTTCCATGTACGAGAGTGCTCTTCAAGCCCAATCTGCAGACCATGAAGAGCAACTCTTACTCGGCATGATGCTGGAAGGAGCCAAAACTTGGCCAGCCTCTAAGCTCCATCGGCGACTACTAGACGTTGTGCAGCGACACCCGACCAGCTTCGTGCTTTGGAAAGAGAGAATCGACTCCATGTTGACGAACATGACGGCATTTCAATTCCATGAGCTGAAGGATGCCTATCAAGAACGTCTGCTATCACTCCCTGGCTTACAGAAGTATCCTGTAAGTCCATTTCCAGGAGCAAGTCAGGGTACAGACGTTCAAGCGCTTCAGGAGCAAGTCATTTATGTTTTTCTGCGCATGACAAGGTTCATATATGATACAGGGTACCGCGAACTCGCTGTGGCTGCGTGGCAGGCCGTCTTGGAGTTGAATCTCAATCGACCCTCTACACTCTCTGGCGCGTCATCGACAGAGATTATGGATCAATTCAAGGACTTTTGGGAAAGCGAGGTCGCCCGAATTGGCGAGGACAGCGCTCAGGGATGGGCTCATTATGTGCAACAAGACGGACTACTAGATGCCCCTGACCCCGTGACACACCCCATTCACAGAAGCAAGTCGCGCAACGTGTACCAGGCATGGGGAGCCACCGAGCACGTACAAGGCCAGCAAGCCAGGCTGCCTGCCCGATCCATGGATGAAGGTGTCGAGGACGATCCATATCGCGTCGTCATCTTCTCGGACCTGGAAAACCTCATCTTTTGCGTGCCTGGAGCATTGATAAAGACTCTGAGAAAGCAGTTGGTGGATGCTTTCCTCTTGTTCTGTCATCTGCCTCCTGCCGACGGATCAAATGGGTGGACAAAGGCAGCAATGAATGATCCTCACGTGGTCGGCAGCCTCTACGACTTGAGAACCGAGCTGCTGCGAAAGCCTGCTCAGCATAACCCCGACGAGGACGATGCAAAACGCCTTCCGATCTTTGATTATGACGCGCATCAGCTGAGGGTATCCTTCGACTGTGTCTTCGCAAGTCAAAGTTGGTTTAAGTACTTTGCAGGTTGGCCAACCCGCAACAAAAACCTAGGGGGCCCTGTGCCGCTTTCTTGGACTGCAAATGCGGTGCGGCAGGTGGTCAATACCGCAGTTGCTGAGTCGTTGGCGCAATACTCTTTGGCCCTGGACTGGATTAACGACCCAGACAATGTCAAGAAACGAGCCCGGCCGCTACTGAAACAATTCCCACGCAACCTTCGATTATACCTGGCATATGCTCTTGCAGAGGAGAGGAATGGGAACCTGGATGTCGCAAGACAAGTCCTTGTCTCCTCTGCTGTTCTAGCTAAGGTAAGTTACGTCGCTCGAAGTACCGGTCCAAAATGGTTATGCTTACTCTCTGCAGGCACCTTCTACCGACTCTGAAAGCCAACTGATTTTCTGGACAACCTGGAGCTGGATGGAGTTGGAGGCTGGCCATCAAACAAGTGCCATACTTTGTCTGTGTGCATTGGCAGATGATTCGGCCATGCCAGACCCTGAGGCGATGGTAACGCCCCATCAGTTACTCATCACGCAACAAACCCTACGCGGCAACCTGAGCTACAACACACCAGCTTCTGAAGCCGAATCCACAGCTCTGAACGCAGGTGCACTGATCCTATGCGAGTATCTGACAGTTGGAGGGGGATCTGAATCAGCGTCTCTGACGCAGGGCAACATTTCGACAGCAATGGATAGAGTATGGTCGGTGAGCGAGGGCCTCAGTAAGTGTGGCTTTGCAGGCCAAGCAGCACACGAGGTTTTACTGCAGTCAGCGGCAAGGTTGCTCTATTTCCATGCTAGGCAAGGGTATGTGCGAGCAGTTCACTTGGGGACCAACATCTTTGCGGTAAATTACTGACTGTGTTGCCTAGTCCGTTTCGAAGCGCCTATCTGCGAGAGCAGCTTGCCAAATGCCTAGGTATCTTCCCTAGGAACACAATGTTCCTGAGCCTTTTTGCGTGGGCATCTTCAAGCTTTGGCATTGACGACCCCGTCGGGGACATGCTTCGCAGCACTGCCCTCGCAAATCAGAACGATTGTGTCAGCAGCCGGATCTTTGCCATCAAATATGAGCTGCAAAGAGGCAACTCGCACTCGACCCGTGCCGCCTTTGAACAGGCGCTTAAAAGCCCAGCGTGTCGAGCCAACAGCGAGTTGTGGCGGAGCTATGTTCAGTTTAGCCACTCGCGGAAGGAACTCCGAGCCAAGGCAAAAGAAATCTTCTTCCGTGGCCTTGGGCAGTGCCCGTGGTCCAAAGACCTGGCCATGGAGGCGTTCACTACGCTGGCCAACGTGATGGATGAGTTTGAGCTGGGATCAGTCTTCAACACGATGCAGTCCAAGGGCCTAAGACTTCATGTGGAGCTGGATGAGTTTCTGGCCGCGCAGGGCAGGGAAACAGGAAGGCGGTAAGAGAGAGAGCCTCGGGTTGAAACTAAATCATTATGAGCAAACATGGTGCAACTGCTCAGGATGACTCGATGCGGCGACGGGCGCAGGGCTGAATTCTGCCCTGAACCGTTGTCAAGTGAAATAATGCCGTGAGTGAACACTGCGTGCAAATCCACAGTAGCACGAGATGGCCCAGACGAGTCACCAGTGGCAATTGAATGTGCATGTTGAGTCATCGGCGGCCCAGGTCAGCCAGACAAGGCGGCAGCGGCGGGGTACGAGGCCTCAACTCGAGTTGTCAGCAGCAGCAGTGCAGAAGGGGAGGAGGCGCCTTGGTGCTACAGGGATTGCCTCCCGCAACCAGTGGCAGCCCCACTCGGTCGCCCCCCTCAATTGGGCCCTCTGGCCCTCTGGCCCTTAACTTGCGAGCTCTGCCCGCAGAAAAAACCCATCTCTTTGCACCTCAAACTCGTGATACCTCACCAACGACGACCCGCTGCTGCTCTCTTCTTGTGTCGAGCACAGCTTTTTCGAGACCCTCTACCCATCATTCCCGATTCCCAAGTTTTTCCCCGACCAAACGCAGCAAACATGGCGGTGCGAGCCCAGTTTGAGAACTCCAACGAGTATGCCGAGACGACCCCTCGACCCCGCCGACCCCGCCATGCGAGAGCGAGAGAGATGCATCTCGCCTCACCCAGAATGTTGCGCTGACCTCACCGTGTGCGCAGAGTTGGTGTCTTCGCGACGCTCACAAATTCCTACGCCCTCACGGCCATCGGCGCCAGCGAGAACTTTTACAGCGTTTTCGAGGCGGAACTGCAAGACGTCATTCCCATCTGTCGCACAACCATTGCCGGCTCGAGGATCATCGGGCGCATGACCGCGGGGTACGTGTGCCTCCCCCCCCCCCCCCCCCCTCCCCCTCCTCTCTCTCCCGCTCACATGCGGTCCCTTGCCCTCTGTCCATGACCTCTCGTTGCTGACACGTTTTCTTCGCCCCTGCCTTTCAGAAACCGCAAGGGCCTCCTCGTGCCTACCAACACGACCGACCAAGAACTGCAGCACCTGCGCAACAGCCTCCCGGACGCGATCCGGATACAGCGGATAGAAGAGCGCCTGTCAGCCCTCGGCAACGTCATCGTGACCAACGACCACATCGCCCTCGTGCACCCAGACATTGAGCGCGAGACGGAGGAGATCATCGCCGACGTGCTCGGCGTCGAGGTCTTCCGACAGACCATCGCCGACAATGTGCTCGTCGGCTCGTACATGTCGCTCTCGAACCAGGGCGGCCTCGTGCACCCCAAGACGTCGATACAGGACCAGGACGAGCTCAGCAGCCTGCTCCAGGTGCCGCTCGTCGCGGGCAGTGTGAACCGCGGAAGCAACGTCGTCGGCGCCGGCATGGTGGTCAACGACTGGATGGCGGTGACGGGTCTCGACACGACGGCGACGGAGCTCAGCGTCATTGAGAGCGTGTTCAGGCTGGGCGAGGGTCTGGGACCGAGCAACATCAACACGGGCATGAAGGATACCATGGTCGAGTCGTTCTACTGATCGCGGGGGGGGTGACGGGCGGGAGGGAGTTCACGTTGTTGCTGTTGCCACTGGTTCACGGTGTTGGGTGGCCTCGTGGATGAACAGGTCATGATGAAGATGAAGGAAGTCATTCATCTTCCGTTATACGGAAGGTTCGAGGTGCGCATAGCGAGGTGCGCATAGGTATCGAGGCCGGCCCAATGAGAGAGCATCGTCAAGCTATTTGTCGGGCGCGTTCTTGTGTGTGCATGACGGTTTGCAATGTCTACGCCTACACGTGAAGAGTCAGGATGCAACAGCTAAGAGGAAACGATGAGACATGCTCACTGCGAGATCATGATCTTACTAGGTCACATAAGGTAGGTAGGCACGATGAGTTCTGGTGTAGGTAAAACTGCTGAGATAATCGGCCACCTCGACCATGGCACTAGCAGCAGACAACGACGCCCATGTTGAACCAGTAGAAAGATCCACATCACGTGACCTAAGTGAACTCTGGCTGTGTGACGAAGCACTGACAACAGGCTGAGTAGGTGATTACGTTTTCAGGGCCTTGCACATCACATAAAACACGTACACTCAACTTGGCAAAGCCATATTGTGACAAGACGAAATAGGCCCTGCTGGAGGGTGGTGGTGCGTTGGACTTGGACTTGGGAGAATGACGAAGACGTTGCACAGCATGTTGGCTTCATCTGGAACATCCAGTAGGAGGACGGTTTCATCGTGACACCCGTTACGTAGAGCCCACCTGCCATGACTGCTCATGGCATTCCTCCATGTCTTGCCACACGATCAGCTGTTTCTCCAACGCTGTCTGTGAACGGCGTGAACGGCGAGATCTCAGGGCCCATCTGGGAGCTCGGATCATGCTAGATCCCTGCTCAGAAGCGAGGTAAACATTCCAACGGTTCGGCATTGGTGCGCAGCTGCCGTCTGCCCATCTGACGTCTGCGTGCGCGTGCACGTGCGTCCCCAGCCACCAGAGACGTTCCCAGGCACACTCACTCCTGCTGAGGATGAGAGGATGAATACCCAGCAGGTGGTCGATGGAAAACAAGATGGCCCACCAAGTGAGGAGCACCCCCCGTTTGGAAGTAGATCAGCGTCGACCGATGCCTCGCCGTCACAAAGTAAGCCTACTGGTAAGGTGGCAGGCTTGGCAGGGTGTAGGTAGGTACATGCACCTCTGTAGGGCCTTTTGGTGGGCCAATACTTCTGACGCATGCTTGCCAGGTGCCACTGGCCTGTCAAGGGTTCAGCCCAGCAGACCACTGAGCGCTGAACTCTCGCTGGTCTCCCCACCGACAAGTGACAACACACAATGTGGTACCAGGCCCGCCCTGGCGTCGCATCCACGAATCCCATCCACTGCCAGCCACGGCCGAAGAACCAAGACCTCATCCGCAGACAGCAGCAGCAAGACGCCCGGGAGGCCCTGCACGTCGCCCAACCATGTTATTTCGTCCCCTTCGTCATTGGGCCGGCATGGATCCTGCATGAACCTGCCCTGACTCCTGGTCTTTATTCATCTCGGCCATCCGCAACTTTCTTCCTTCCTGGTGTGTCTTTGACATTGCCACGAGCTCGTCCCTCAATCGCCCATCCGTCCACTGTGCTGCATTCCAGGCATCCCTTCACCGTCAATAGTTTAGCCCTTCAATCCGTCTTCCTCCCACCCCACCTTTCCCGCGTCTTCTCTTTGTTCTGCATTATCCGACAGTCAGGTCAAGGGAAAGACAGCCTGGATCGGTCTCCCGCGACGCCGACCCGAGCTACTCCCACCTCCGGTCCGCCGCGTCCTTTGTTCGCCTTCCCAGCTGCTGGGTTAACATTCACCGGCCGATCCTGGTCTCCTGAAAAGTTCGGCCTCGCCTTGCCGCCAATCGAGGCCCGCAAGGTCCAGGACGGTCTTCGCCTCACAGCTTTTGGATCCCCGAGGCGCAAACTAGAGGGGAAAAGTTTGCAGCTTTACCTCCATCCCGGCGCTATACGGTCCAGCCGTCGGTCACATTCCTGCCTTGTCGATAGGTGGACTTGCCGCATCGGTACAGTGGCACCAGCGCGCTCGCGCTCCTCAACATACCAGAGCCGGGCTGCGAACCGCGAAAATCGCTAGCGTTGGAGCACCCAGAGGACCTCCCACTACACGCGAAACATTAGCACGTCATGCTAAGCCCATCCGTTTCCGTCCCCGCGGCTGATGGCCCGAGGGGGTCTGGAAGACCCCTGGACTCTCCTCCAAATGGAATGCGTGCAAGCCACCATCTCTACCAAACCGCGGATGCGAACGCCGCGCCGACCGGTCGTCCCCTGGCCCAAGATCGGCAAGGGGCCCATCCCACCGTCCCATCAACCGCGATCCCCGCGCCCGCTACCCTGAACAGCAGCAGACAGCCTACCTCGCGACCTCTGTCTCTGGGTCCCCCTCATGCCACCCCTTCATCTCTCCAGCAACACTTTCGCCATCAACGCCATCAGTCCAGTACAGAACTTCGTCCTGCTGCCGTCTACTCTTCAGCATCTGGCATCCCCTCCCCGACGAACGAGAGGACGCCGAGACCAAGATCAATCGACATGCCCTTCACCGGAGACACCAGGGCCGGCAGGTCCCCCGAGTCAGGCGCTCGCTCTCTCCTGAGCTCCTGGCTACCAGGGCCCGCTTCTCCCAGCGAGATGGACAATCCATCCTCAACACCTTCCAAGTCACTCAGAAACAACATGACGCCGCTCAACACCAACGCTTCAACAAACACCTCCCGCTTCGCCTTCATCTCCTCGTCATTCTCCGCCCTGACCAAGTCTGCCACCTCGCCAACGCGGAAAGCGAAGCATGACGACGAGCTCCTGAACATGAACATTCACGACGCCCTTTTCCCTCCTTCCGCCTCGCCTGCTGGGTCTCGCGACGCCTTTTCACCCGCTTCCTTTAAGAACCTCGAGATGACGGCCGTTGCGCTCCTGACCAAGTTCCAACATGCATACGAATCGCAGAGCGCCGCGTTGCGGGAAATGGAAGTCGAGCGTGACACCCAAGCCGAGGAGGTCGAGGAGGCGGACACGCGAACCAAGCACCTCAAGCTACAGCTCGAGAACATGGCGCTCCAGGCCGCCGAGCGCGAGAAGGAAATGCAGGCACTCATGGCCGCCCTCGAGCGCGAGAAGGCCGCGAACCGCAGCGGCCTAGCGTCCGACAGCGCCACCATCACGTCGGAGGATCTCGGCGCCGAAGACGACCAGAAGCGCCGCCTCTGGCGCAAGAGCATGACTGAGGACACGGACGAGGAGAGCGTTGGCGACGCACCCAGCGTCTTCTCGCGGTCGAGGAGTCCCACACTCGCCGCCCACCCGCTGGGCCTGGATGCCCAGCAGCCCTCGAATAAGAATGCCTCTTCACGCAACTCGATGCAATCGCAGCCGCAGATCAGCGCCTTTCAGAAGCTGATGAGGGGGTTCGGCGATGCGGCGGTCGGCCAGGCTGGCGCTGCGTGCCAGAGGTGTCAGGGACAGGACGAGCGTGCCGCGTGGGACACGGCGAGCCTGCTCAGGGACGAGAACCGGGGCCTGAAGATTAGGGTTGCTGAGCTCGAGACGTGCGTAGACGCGGCCTTGGATGCCGTGCACGGGATTCGTTTGTAAATTGGGTGTGCGTGCTTTTGAGTTTGGACGGCGTTGGGATCATTCAGGGGGCCCGGCTCAACAGGCCGACCATCAGGGGCGTGGGGCGTTTCTAGACATTCTGTCGGGGATTTTAAGCATCGGGACTCATGGCACACAGATACATTGGCCTCGGAGCCTGGCCGTCACACGACATAACATTATACCTTATCAGCACAAAACATTGACATGAATTCATGACTTGTAGTAGTGACGTGGGCTTCAATGACCGAAGAACTTTGTGTGAGGCTCGTCCAATCACTAGTCTGTTGATTCTGTCCCACCTCGTCCTGTGATGACCTGTCGGGTTGTGCTTGTTGAAGGACGGCTTGTAACGAGATGTCGAAGCGACGTCGGCCATCGCCGTTTGGGTCCCCTTACTCTTATAACTACCTGCTAAGATACATGTCGATGGAGCTTTGGATTTTGCCGTGCATACAATTTCTGACTGGACTACAATGCGAACTTCGGAGTGGGCGGTGCTGATTCTCTATCGACATGTTTTCTGGGGGAGTTCACAACGCATAGCCGGAAATCGCCGCATGGGCGCCTCCCCGGCTGAGCAAATCGCCGCAAGCGAACCACAAAGTTCGGGGCCATCGCTGAGGAATTCTTTCGACCTTGGCACGTTTGTCTGGCGTTGTTCGTCGCAACACGCATTGAGGCGGGTCTTCGGCCGAAACGCTGGGGTTTCGTCGGGACGTCCCTCTTTCATATCAGGGGCGCTGGACAGATGGGCATGAGCGTACTGGCTCGCCACAGTGGCATCTGTGACATCGTGCTGCGATTACTCCTTCGTCGAACCTTTTGTCGAGGAGCTTGCGAAAGGGAGCCCCGCCAATTGGGCGGCCGTCCACGCGGGTAACCGGAAGCATACTGTGTCCACCATTGTCATTGCTGCCGTTGGCCATGAGGTCCGACGCTGGCTCGGCAACACCAGTCCATCAATTCCAGGGTTCAGAAAGTCACATCAATCACCGCATTTCCCGTCAGCGTGACTCAAAGAAAAATTGATTTAAATCCTGGGACCGAGACCTCCATTGTTCTGCAGACTTATGTACATTCTCCCCCGCCGCCCGTTCAGTGGTGTCCCTTGCCGTGGCTGTCTCCGTGGTGTCCGTCGTCGAGGAAGAAGTACTCGTAGGCGCAGTAGGCGGAGAAAGCGACGGTCGCGATGCCGAGGCCAGGAAAGCCCGTCTTGAATCGGTTCCAGCGGGTGAACTGGCCGGTGTAGCGCCACGCCTCACTATCATGTCCTGGTCAGCGGGAAGCTCCTCATCGTCAGTGGTATCGAGAAGGACTGACGCTCGCTCCCAAGGGTCGTATCGGGGCTGGCCTGTGGACGCCTTGAGGGCGCGGATGTCGAAGCCGGTGATGTTGGGCCTCTCGCCCTTGGCGGCAAGTCGTAGTCTGTTGTACAATTGATGTCAGCAGGCGTGCGGGGACGAAGATGCGTCAATTGATTGCGGCGTGCTCGTCTCACCTCGTCGGCTGCATGGTGTCTGGTGTGTCTGTGTCGCTGTGGTGGTTGGCGATGGAGAGAGAGAGAGAGAGAGAGAGAAAGGCCCTTGACAGAGGTCGTTCTCGATGTGAGGTCGTTCGCGGTTCGACGGCAAATGCCGTGAGCGCATCCTGCCTTGTGGTGGGTCTCACGCCCGGTGCACTGACCACCTCAGTCCGCCATGCCCAAGGTTGTCGGTCAGCTGGCCCTGACCTCGTTCAGGTTCCTTCAACCTCAACCATCGAACTGTAGCCCGATCAAGACAATAACCCCCCGGACCACAGCCCAGCTATCGCGGCTGAGCAACCAAAAAGCATTCAATTCCCATCGCACTTCGAGCATTGTTACCGTCGCGCACCGCCATCCTCGACCCCTTGCTTCGACATCCCTCCACGACACGGTCGGCACGACTCCACCTGCGACAAGTCACCACGACTGGGGCACGAGGCCACATCAGCGAGCTAGCCCAGCCTGCATCCCTCGAACCACTGCCAATGCAAGGCCGAGGACATCGTCAGCGCCCTCAGTCATTCCACCACCACGGCAATCCAGCCCACGGTTAGAGACCTCCAAGTTTCGCTTACCATTCTACGCACGGGCTCTGTCCATCGCACCCGATCACCTATTTCCCAAGGTCACCTCGACCCCCGCCCTATCGCGGACGCCCTCATCGATACCATCCCCTACGACGTCCGTATAGCGCTGGTCACTGCCTTGGACCTTTCCAATCTGGCATGCCGCCTCCCCCGCTCAGGTACCCTGGCGGGCCCAACACGATACCGCCCTCTTACCACCAGCAGTTCTCCTCCCACGCCCAGGGACATGGTGCTGCTCACGGCCCACCGCTAGGTGGCAACCCTTCCTACCTCAATGCCAACTCGCAAAGCAGCCCTTTCTCCATCGGCGGTAACGTCCTCGGCGGCGTCGGAGCTCTTAACGGAGGGTTCGGCGTCGGCGCGGACACAGGAGGGCTCGGCAGCCATGCTGCGCGCATGGGCTTCCAACAGGCCGCCAACATTCACCAGCAACAACAGCATGGCCAGGGGCAGCACGGCTTCGGTGCTGATCACGGCGGTGCCAACATGCGCGGCGGTCACAATAAGGGCAGGATACGAGAGGTGTGGAAGCACAACCTCCACGAGGAGATGGCCGTGCTGAGAGACCTGGTGGACAAGTATCCTTATATTGCTATGGTAAGAGAAGAGAATGGTCTTCTGGTTTGGCGTGCGTTGTTTTCTCTAATGCTCGCGGACAGGACACCGAGTTCCCCGGTATCGTGTCACGGCCAATGGGAGGCTTCAGGGGAAAGAGCGACTACCACTATCAATGCCTGCGGACCAACGTCGACATGCTCAAGGTCATCCAGATCGGTCTCGCCCTTTTCAACGAAGAAGGCGAAACCCCGCCTGCGCGTCCGAGCTCGGCGGACCTGGCAGACTTTGGCCCGGCCGGCCGACGGAGCGCCCAACAGGGACCGTTCCCTTACGCGTGGCAATTCAACTTTAAGTTTTCCCTCAAGGACGACATGTACAACGAGAAGTCGATCGAGTCCCTGCAAACCGCGGGCATCGACTTTAACCTGCTCGAGCGCGACGGCATCGACCCCCACGACTTTGCCAGTCTCCTGATCCCGTCGGGACTGGTCTGCTTCGATAACGTCAGGTGGATCTCGTTCCACGGTGGATACGATTTCGGATACCTGACCAAGCTGCTGGACTGCCGCGCCCTCCCTAGCGACGAGGTCGACTTTGACCGCATCATGAAGCTGTACTTCCCGTCGACATATGACGTCAAGCATCTCATGAAGCATGCCATCCGGCTGCACAATTCGGGCCTCCTGACGCCGAGCGACCCCAGCACGAGTGAGATTCTGCAAAAGTTCGAGCACAAGTCAGGCCTGGAGAACATTGCAGAGACCCTCAAGGTTAAGCGCGTGGGCGCAGCGCACCAGGCCGGCTCCGATTCGCTCATCACGGGCAAAGTCTTCTTCCAGATGCGCGAGAAGATCTTCAACGGCGACATTGCCGACGACCATGTCGGCAAGGTGTGGGGTCTCGGTATCCCGGACGGCGGCCTCCTCATGGGCCACATGATGGGAACCCACGCCGGCGCCGGTGGTGCGGGCTCACACGAGCCGAACGGCCAGCAGCAGAACGGCACGCCCAGCACGCCCAACACGGTCAGCGCCGGCCTCGTCAGCACGCCCGGCGCGCAGTCGCACAACACGAACGGGTTCAACACGGGGCCGATGACGCCCGGCGGCGGAGGCGGCGTCTTTGGCAGCTTCGCCTTCAACGCCAACCGCTAGAGGGGGCCTCCGCTGCGCTACGGCGTGTTTCGTCCGTCGTCCGCCTGAAACCTTTGACCGAAGACAGAACTTTTTTTTTTTTTTTAAAAAAAAAAAAAAAAAAAAAAAAAAAAAGGGCAAATACAAGTAGTCAAACCAGCAGTCGCGCACGCTTGTTCGTTCTTCTCCGTCTCGGAGGTCGAGGGCGGACGAATGAAGGGGGCGAATCATTTCCGTGGAAAAGGTAAAAGGGAGGGGCGGGGCGTCATTTTGGTAGGGACATTCCTCGTTAGGACGACGCACGGAGTTAGGATGCCCGGTGGGACAAGGGAAAAAGGGCGTCGTCGTTCGCTTGGACTTTGTCTCCCCGTGCCGGATCGCTGGATTTGGGGGCGGCGCGGCGCGGTCCTCGTCATGTACTGTATTGTGAATACCTTAGGTTAGCCAGGGCGGGAAGGAAAGGTAGCCGGGTTGGTCGGTAGGTAGGGCAATGCCGAGCTGCTTGACTTTTACGCCATCTCGTGGTGCGGTGACTGGGCTCCTGATGATTTCCGTGCTGAGGCACTCGGCGTGAAAACAGGATTCGCGAGCCTCGCAACAGTGTGCAGCTCCCGAGTCAACCAAGTGTCATCCGAGAAAGGTTCGATTCAATGTATCTGCCCCCTCAACCCCAGCTGATTCAAGCTCGCCACAGCGAATACAGAATGGTCGTCTGGCGACGCAACCTCACATCCCGCTAATGAAAAAAAAAAAACGCCTTCCGTAACACCTTTCCTGAACACACTCGAAAAAACAAAGTACGCCATGTCCCATAATGATACGCTCCATTTCATCCTCCCCGATCCCACATCACGTAATGTACACCTTCTTCAGCTCCTCGGCATGATACGTCGCCCCCGTCTTGAGGTCCTTGACCTCAACCTCGGGCTCGAGCCCGGACTTGCGCGCATAGTCCTCGAGGCGGTCCTTGCCAAAGGCGTTGCCGTTCGGCAGCAGCAGGAGGTCCGTGTCGACGTGACTCTTGGTGTGGTGGGCGTACGGGACGTTGCGCGCGAGGTCGTTGAGCTCGGTGGAGCAGATGGGGCAGGACGCGGCGGGGCTCGAGATGGCGGCTGGACGGGCCTGTTGTTGGTGATGGTGGTGGTGGTGGTGAGGATTCTGGGAGCGGGCGCCGTCGCCGGAGGGCTCCGAGTG